AGTTCAACCGTAAGCATCTTAGTATATTCAGCGACATAGCTATAGCGATCGCGAAGCAAGGGGGAATTAAGTCCCTACAAAATTACAAAGGAGTAGATGACACAGATACCACCTCTCCGATAGTTAGGACGGCACTCATGATCGCGAAAATGTACGGCGGGGCTCAGACGCACATCACTAACGACATGTTGGGTACCATACTGATTCCCAATGGGAACAATGACTTGAAACAAGCATTGGTAGTTGGTGCGGATTTACAAGCCCTTAAAGCTCCACAGATCGACAATACTGAAGAGGGAGGTGAGGGTCAATCTAACAATGTCCCACGTATATGCTTTGGTCGGTCTTCACGCCTGTTTTTTGGGTAGGGCACTGACTTCCATGAGCTATCCCAATTGGATGGCTCGGAGAATGCAAGCCTTCTCCAGTGCATTAGGGGTGGAATCAGAGGAAGGGGGATATGATATGCTACAGCCAGGGTTTTCATACTGTGCATCATCGTATGCTTGGCTCTCTTCAAAAAGAAAGATTCGCCGTGTTTTGTTCAAAGATATCGAGAATACTGCGAGTTCCTCCACTAATCGCTTGCTAGCCACCGCTTATAAGACAAGTCTGGTCTACTTAGCAGGAACAGAAATGTCAATGTTTATGTTAATATTTAGATATATTCTCTGTGAGAACCCAATTCTGTTAGCTTGGAATGAGGTGGCAAAGCATGCGGACAAGCTCATCGCAGCTTTCGACAAATGGGTCAAGTTAGGCAAGTCGGCCCCTTACTGTAAACTCTTATACACGGAGGAAGAGTGCACGGAGTTCAACCGTAAGCATCTTAGTATATTCAGCGACATAGCTATAGCGATCGCGAAGCAAGAGGGAATTAAGTCCCTACAAAATTACAAAGGAGTAGATGACACAGATACCACCTCTCCGATAGTTAGGACGGCACTCATGATCGCGAAAATGTACGGCGGGGCTCAGACGCACATCACTAACGACATGTTGGGTACCATACTGATTCCCAATGGGAACAATGACTTGAAACAAGCATTGGTAGTTGGTGCGGATTTACAAGCCCTTAAAGCTCCACAGATCGACAATACTGAAGAGGGAGGTGAGGGTCAATCTAACAATGTCCCACGTATATGCTTTGGTCGGTCTTCACGCCTGTTTTTTGGGTAGGGCACTGACTTCCATGAGCTATCCCAATTGGATGGCTCGGAGAATGCAAGCCTTCTCCAGTGCATTAGGGGTGGAATCAGAGGAAGGGGGATATGATATGCTACAGCCAGGGTTTTCATACTGTGCATCATCGTATGCTTGGCTCTCTTCAAAAAGAAAGATTCGCCGTGTTTTGTTCAAAGATATCGAGAATACTGCGAGTTCCTCCACTAATCGCTTGCTAGCCACCGCTTATAAGACAAGTCTGGTCTACTTAGCAGGAACAGAAATGTCAATGTTTATGTTGATATTTAGATATATTCTCTGTGAGAACCCAATTTTGTTAGCTTGGAATGAGGTGGCAAAGCATGCGGACAAGCTCATCGCAGCTTTCGACAAATGGGTCAAGTTAGGCAAGTCGGCCCCTTACTGTAAACTCTTATACACGGAGGAAGAGTGCACGGAGTTCAACCGTAAGCATCTTAGTATATTCAGCGACATAGCTATAGCGATCGCGAAGCAAGAGGGAATTAAGTCCCTACAAAATTACAAAGGAGTAGATGACACAGATACCACCTCTCCGATAGTTAGGACGGCACTCATGATCGCGAAAATGTACGGCGGGGCTCAGACGCACATCACTAACGACATGTTGGGTACCATACTGATTCCCAATGGGAACAATGACTTGAAACAAGCATTGGTAGTTGGTGCGGATTTACAAGCCCTTAAAGCTCCACAGATCGACAATACTCAAGAGGGAGATGGGGCCCCGCACATACACACAGTGATGAATTAGGGGGCTGATATATCTAAAGAACTTTTCATCCATGATCCTCTAGTGTTCTCATCGACTTACAAATGAGTTCAAGCTTTGAGAATCACTTACATCTTCCAAATACTGAATACTGAAGAAAACAATAATTGTGACATGGCAGATTTTGAATATGTTTGGTTGTCTCAGGAGTTGAAAACAACCCAAAATGATAAAGGTTTGTTTAGTGGTTTGAGTCACAAAACACTAGAGTTTTATATATATATATATATATATATAAGGTTTAAATTAATAATGCTTGTATTTTAGAAAATGTTCCCTTGAATGTTCCAAGTACAAGCTTGGTAGAGGAGGATTTAAATATAAGAGAAAATTCCAAGGAAAATGAAATTTCTCATGAGAAAAACTCTCAATGTACTTTAAAATTACAAGGAAAAGTTTTAAGTAAGTAATTTTTTTTTAATTAACGTACAAACTTTAATGTTTAATTTTAGAACCAACCCGAAAACGTAGCACAACCAATGGAATTAAATATAACACAATAAATTATTTGATTAAAAAAATGAAAGGGCTCATGAAGTTCGCTTAAAAGAAATTTCACTTCAAGAAAGGAAGCAGACCCTTGAGGAGAAAAAAATTGAATTAAAGCTCTTGGAAGTTAAAAAAAAATTGAAATGGATGAAAAAAACTAGATGTTGAATTAGGAATATTCCAAAATCAACAAAAACTTATAGAAATTATATTTAATAAATTTAGTAAGTGATACTTATAACAATTGTAAGTGATACTTATAACAATTGTTATAAGTATCACTTACTAAATAAACTATTAATAGACTTTTTTCAACATTACTTCATTAGTTTTAAAGTTGAAAAACTTATATCCCATTTCCCACGCAAGTGCCAATAAACTTTTGTAAGGTTATATTTTGTGATTTTTATAGGGCTGTTTTTTTTTTGTTTTTTATAATTTATTATTTTTTATAGTAGGTTTTTTGTTTGTTTATGTATTATAAATTAGGCTATAGCCAGACTATAGGTTAATTTTATTATTTGTTATTTTTATAATAGGATTTTTTTGTAAGTTTAAACTACAACAATTGTTGAACTTACCAAATAAATAATTTTTGGTTTGTCAGAAAAAAACACAAATAAAACTATTATAAGCTAAATTTATTTATTTCTTTATTAATTTACACCTAAATATACTTCTAATTCAGGAGGTTCAATCTCAAAATAAGTTGAGGTTTCATTTCCATACAAACATGTATGACAATTTGTTAAAATCAGGCCAACAGTATACATACGTCCAACATCTTAAGCCGGGTCTACAATTGTCGCAGAACGCAGATCGCAGAACGTAAGCATGCGCAAAGCACCCAGCGACGTTGCGATGGAGCAAGGTCACACGTCGCAGAAAGTTAATTCATCTTCAATAACGTCTTTCGCAGGCTTTTATGTTAGCCAATCATAGAGCGCTAGAATCTATCTGTCTCTGTGCTCTCTTTCTTTCAATAATCAATACTTTTATTTAGTTCCTTTTCCTATTTCGCGGTTATTTTTAAATTTTTGGTGTAATTCTCAGAAATTATTCGAAAAACGTAATTGTCCAAATTTAAAATAATTTTCAATATTTTCTAAAGACCATTTAAATAAATGTAGGTATACCTATTATTATTATATATGTATATTCTTATTACTATTGAATATTCATACCTATATTGATTTAAATAGGTAGTTTTTAGGAAATATCGAAAATCATTTAGAATTTTCAAATTTTGATCAAAATAATTATTTAAAATTTTAAATAATATTAACTAATTCTATGATAATCTAAACAATATTTCCAATCCAATATTGGAAATATTTGTGAAACACAGATTATAAAGGTTGGTGTGAAATACTCAACCCAGTGTCACCAACACTTTACTTTTTATTCCCTAAAAATTTGCATTTATATTATATATATAATATACAAATATAATTATATATAAACTCTTAAACATTTTTTACCTAAAAATAAACCCCAAGCAGTTTTTTAGAGATAGGGATCCATCCATATCTCTGTTTTTTTCACTAAATTTAGGGGAACCACTTCTACGTTGGCCACACTGTGGTTATAAAGAAAACAATTGCTCTGATTGGTCAATAAAAGCACATCGCGCGACAATTGTAGACAGCTCACATAACAACGACGTGTGACCTTGCTCCATCGCAACGTGGATGGGTGCTTTGCGCATGCTTACGTTCTGCGATCTGCGTTCTGCGACAATTGTAGACCCGGCTTTATAAAAGAAGTTTTTGATTTTTTTTTTAATCCAGGAAGGCAAACTGTTGAATAATCTTACCAAATCCCCATTATACTGTTATTCGTAATGCACTCATAGTGACATTAAAATGTTGCCTATTTGGATCCCCACCAAGTTCATGTTGTGTATAAGGTCGCAACAAAAGCTCTCTTAAGCCATATGAATGGTCACCAAATAAAACAAATTGTTCATAAGGAAATACAGTATGCTGCTCAAGCTCAGCATAAAGCCCCGACTCTCTAAAAATCCCTGCATCATGTCTACGTCATTCATAAGGTCCTTTTAGGCTTATTACGATTCCATCTGGACAAATAACTGATTGGAATTTAATGCAGTGTGTCTTTTTATGTTCAGAGTAATAATTTTCCTGGTTAACACTTGGTCTGCATATGGGTCTTACTGTTCCATAAATAAAACCCCAACAGTTTGGAATTGGACAACCTTTTCCTGTTATAGCCTAAAATCAATTAAATTTTAGAATTTTTAGTAGACATATTATTCTTTTATTACTGGGAATACTGCATTAGCTTTTGCAAATTTAGAAAAGGAATATTTTGCAAGTTCTCTAGTAAATGACCTTTGTTCTTAGATATAATATTTAACATGTAATTAATAACACTAGAGAGAGCTGTTGAAGATAGTCCAAATAATGGCTCAAGATCCACCAATCTGTTAGGGTATGCCAACCTTCTTAACAAAATACAAAGCCCATCTAATCCTATAAACTAGAAAAAAGTAGAAACTATACAGTTATATATGCTATAAACAAAATTCTAGAAATAAAACACTTTAGTAATGCTCCTGTAGGCAATAAGTTTAATTCTTACCTGGCACTGTTATCCGTTCCTCAGTGGTAATCAGCTCTGGTAAATTAAGAGCTGTAGAAAGTCTTCTTAAATGATTTTTTTCAAATCTGAAAAGCTTTCTACACTCAGTTTCGGACAAACTATTTAAATCAAAAGCGCCGTACAATTCTCTCAGATTTCCTAAATTTTTATTCTCATTGAGGATATGAAAAATTAGGGCTTCGTCCATGTCGTCGTCGTTATCACTGTCAAGTGCACCAAAATTTATAATTTCATCCATATCAAAAAAATGCTTTTAAATTTGTTTGCTAACCTCTCTTTTTAACTCTAAAACGTAGGGTTATCTAAACGTCAAATGGGTAGGTTCCGCGATTTGCGGAACGCAAGTGGCTTTAAGTCGCAATTACAGACAAAACGTAACCCAGCTCGGTACGTTTGCGTCAATACGTATGTCTTGCATTTTTTACTTTGCTTTAACTCTCTATTGTCAAACAGACCTACTTATGTTTGTTGTTTTGTTTTAAGTACTTACTTATTTTCAATTTTTAAGTTTGACAGCAAAGGGCAAATATCGTTGGTCTACGAAGGTGTTTATAGTAAATAACTGCTCTAGATTTTAATAAGTAAGTAAACTATACCTTGTTTGTTTTCTTTCTGGCATACGTAAATTCTAAGAATGTACTGTGATCACTAAATACATGGCATTTAACATTTTACGAACGTAATAGTCATATTGTTGATTCTGCTAGGTTTCATTTTAAATGCGATTTTATATACTTTGTAACCCAGTTTCAGAGATGTGTCATTAAAACGTCATTCAGTTTTTTTCTGTCTCAGTTTTAATTATTAATGTACATAGGTTACTAAGTAGCTGGTGATAATATTATTATTTTGTTTTTAGAAAAATGCCACCGAAACGAAAGTATGGGTGGTATGATTAAAAAGAGTATTTGCTTTCACTTCAAGTAAGAGCTTTTACTTCCTAGTATTTTTTGGAGTATATTCTTTTACATTAAGTAAATTCTTCTATGGGAAGTATTTACTTAGGTTAGGAGAATAAAAACTAGTAGGTAGTTTAACCTCAAATTGGTGTGATTGTTGTTGTTTGTTCTGTGGTAATTGTGGTACCTACTTTAAAATTAGTAATCATGAGTGACAGTGACGATAGTGTTGAACCAACTGCTGGGGATGCTGAAAATGTGGAAGATATAGATTTTCAGATGGCATTTGTTATTTTGCTAGAGGATTTTAAAATACTTTTTGACAAGTGGCAAACTCCAGCAATCAAATCAGAAAAAAAAGCAGCTAAATCACTCGCAGAAGCGTATACCAAGAATACCAAAGAAGTAATGACTGTTAAACAGGTTATGAAAAAATTGATCAATATGAAAACCAAAGTTAAAGAAGCCACAGACCTTAAAAAGACGGGTAATAAAAAAATTGTACTTACGGATTGGCAAAAGAAATTTTATGCTATTTTGAATAACGAGGAAGTTCAGGGAGCGAATCCTGTACTGAATAAGGCACCAGGTAAGTTGTTTATACTTTATTAATTTATTTATCAATTTAGGTACCTAGTCACAATAAATGATATAGCTGCAGTAACATCCGGCTATTCCATGCCATCCACTAGCAAATCAAGTAATTCAACATTATTGTCGCCTACTGAAAAAAAGAAAAAATTAGAAATAACTAAAATCAAAGAACCAGAAGAGTTTCAAGGATATTCTTTGCAGCACTTGCTCGTTTCTTAAGAAAGTGCTGCTATTCAAATGAAGGAATATTATCAGTTGAAGATCAATCAAGAGAACTCAATAGTACTTTATAGTGAACCATTTCCTGATGTTAATAATAATGACGACTGAATTGTTTGTGATATTTCATTAATAATAGATGATTACATGTTACTTCCCTAATTAAAATAAGTAAGAATAACAATATTTTGTATTTAAATAATGTTCAGTTTGCATTCGTCACTTGTATATAAAACTCACCTTTGTTCGGCAAGGATTCGCCGAGAAACAGCATCCCGTTTTTGCTGACCTGCACGACGGACACCTGCCGCACAATCAGCTTGCAACGCCATACAAAAAGGTGCTCTTCGTCATCAAGATCGTCAAAATCTTTGTCAGGATCCTGCAAATGTTTAGCAACATTGTGTAGTATAAATCCTGCTAATATAAAGATACCCACTCGGTCAGTTTTTATTCGCAGAGTGTAATTAAGCATTGGGAATCGCCTTTTCAACTGTCCAAAGCAGCATTCAATTTTAAGGCTCTTTGAGGTGCTGTCAAGGGATTTTTATAAGGTACCAATAACCATGAAGCGATACCATATCCTTCATCACCTAGCAAATACGTCCCATTATTAATCCCAGGAAAAAATGCATGAACTTCGAAATTTCTTCAAACTCTGCTGTCATGCACGCTTCCTGGCCATGATGCATCGACAGACGTAAAAATTCCTTTATAACTGCATGTAGCCTGCACATTAATACTACAAAATCCTTTACGGTTAAAATATTCTTCCCCATGAGTTTTTGGCTTTAATATTCTAATGTGAGTACAATCTATCGCTCCTATTGCACCAGGCATCGTCCATCCATCTTTGGCTAATTCAATTTCACGGGCGTTTTGGGGAAAAGAAATCCAAACATTTTTCTTTAACACAATTTTTTGTGCAACTTCTTTAATAACTATTATAGTTATTGTATTAAAAGTATTGAAACTTTGCGACAAACTCGCTAGATATATATATTAATTAGATATTCTACAAGCATTTCTCTTATCACCGCTTTTGTTTAATTTCGTTCGGATCTCGTGCCAGCATCGACAGACGCGTTTCGTTCTTGTGGAACTCATCAGTGCCGAGTTGCTATAGGCTTGAGACCCAAACGAAAACTTTACTCCTTCCCTTATATTGGAAAGGAATAGTTCAAAAGCGGTGAGAAGAGAAATGCTTGTAGAATATCTAATTAATATATATATCTAGCGAGTTTGTCGCAAAGTTTCAATACTTTTAATACAATAACTATAATAAATTACCTAGCCGGGAGGGCAAGTACATCTTTCAGGTCATAGATGGCGTAAAGCACGCTATATGTCCCGTACAGATAATGTCATGACATATAGAAGACCGCGTTGAAAAACGATAGATGGCACCATTGTGCAGGCAAATTCTCTTCTCACCGCTTTTAAACTATTCCTTTCCAATATAAGGGAAGGAGTAAAGTTTTCGTTTGGGTCTCAAGCCTATAGCAACTCGGCACTGATGAGTTCCACAAGAACGAAACGCGTCTGTCGATGCTGGCACGAGATCCGAACGAAATTAAACAAAAGCGGTGATAAGAGAAATGCTTGTAGAATATCTAATTAATTTCTTTAATAACTTTTGACACTGTTGTTTGATGTACCTCCATATCTACACCAACTCCTTGTTGAAACCCAGGATCACTTAGAGCTCTTAAAAATACCTCCATTTTCGTTATATTTGATAAAGCTGCTCCCCTCATCTCAACATGATTTCCTAAGAACTCATTGGCTATCCATTCAACATTATTTGCATTGAAGCTAAACGTACAGTGCTTAATAGTAGCAGCTATAACTAAAATATAATTGACTTACCGAAATAATTTTCTATATTGTACCTCCCCATACGTTCTACGTTCACATATTTCCCTCCTTTTCCTATCATAATTCATAAAAAAGCCATTTTCAACACTTTTTTAATGGAATTACCTGATGTGAAGTTACCCTATCAGTAACTTCTTATAAACTACACCAAACACTCCCAAATGGAGGAAATGCTAGACAATATAAGTAAATTCTGCAGTATAAACTTCTATATATCGAAGTAAATAAAGCAAAGCCAAGTACTTACTTTAGTATTACACTAAGAATTATGTGGAGTTAATGCTATAATTTTTGAAGTAAAAACTACAAAATGGAGCATTTACTTGAAGTAAAAGCAAATACTTTTTTTAATCATACCACCCTATGCCGGTGATTATATTAAACTGGGCTTCTCTTCAATAGGAATAAATGGGGAGATTAGACCTCAATGCGTAATATGCACAACTATTCTTGCCAATGATTCTTTAGAAACCGAACATCTGGATTACTGTGACCGTCCGCCAGAGTTCTCCGAAGGCAAACTGATAAATCTAAAAAAAAATGAAACTCGGACCTAGTGGAACAAGTTATGCAACATCTGTAAAAACATTATATGCATCGTTTGAAATTTCAAAATGAATTGCCAAATCCAAAAAAGCACATACAATCAGTGAATCTCTAATAAAGCCTTGTATGCTTATAGCTTTTAGGACAGGGAGCTCAATGTAGTTGTTATTTTGGGCTACAATGTGATGAGTCTAGAGTCAAACCACGTCAAGTGGGACCAGAAAATTTCACGAAATCACCGATTTTGAAAATAATCACATTATTGTGTAGTAGGCATTACTCATATGTCACAGTAAAAAAATTGTTTTAAAATTCGTTTTTTTGGTAATGTTATTAAGGTTGACAATTTTGTCAAACTTTAGAGCACGGTAAAATTGAAAAAATAGTATCTCTGGAACCACTCTGTATAATTGAATTAAATTTTACACACTATTGTAGAAATGTTTAGACTATATAATGATCATTTAATTAAGGTTAATTTGTTTAAATAAAACAATTTTGCATACATTTATTATAAACAATTGAAATTTTGTATGTGTTCTTCACGCTGAAAAAAAATTAATCTTGTGTCATAATATGCGGCAAACATTTCCGTTTAATAAGATTTACTCAAAAATTTGCCTTTCATATGTCATTCCGGAGATATTAATTTTTTTGTCCCGCTGTGCGCTTAGGCACGCGGGACGCTGCGCTGGCACCTTAATTTGATCTGATCCTAGATATCTATGGATCTGCTTGACAAATAGGCAGACTTTGACAGTTTAATTGACGTTCTTTTAATAACTTTATATATATTCGCTTTGTGATCAATGTAAAGTTTTGATATTATTTTAAAAATGGTTCGGCCGAATGAGTGTTGTAATCCTTTGAAAAAAAAAGGTCACAATTGTATTCGTCATAAGTTATTCAAAGTAACTGAAAAGTGGAATATAAAATTTAAAAAATACATTGGTTATCACATTTGCAAAACATGTCGTTACACAATGTACTGTAGTAATGTGGATATTACTGCAAATGAAGCAAATGATCAGCCGAGTACAAGGTAAGTTTACTCATGATTTTGTAACCCTGTTGCATAATAGTTATTATAATTATATCAAATATTTAATTAATTACTTAACTTCATTTCGAGAAAAAGTCATAAACAAATAAATAAGAACTTTCTCGATATTTGATATTTTAAGATAATAGTAAGTGAATTTTAAATGAATATTCCCTCGTCCTAATTTCCACCAATCACAATCGCGCAATTTTGAATTACAAATGGTTTCTAGGTGAAAAAACTATGTGACAGCACCTGTCAGCATTTTTTTCGAGTTTACCAGCGGCAAAACTTGACAGCTATTGTCACCACAAATTGCAATTTATATTTTAATTGTTAATTGTTACTCATGAAATAGTCTTGTCAAATACCATTCGGGCATCTAATTTTTCCTGTGAAAAAAATCGAAAAAACACAATGCTAAGTAATATTTTTTAACAAAATGCATTCGTGCAGGTGCAAAAATCCTCCTCTTCGACTCGGATTTTTGTTGCCACCAGCACTCATGCTTTTTGTTAAAATATTACTTAGCAACGTGTTTTTTCGATTTTTTTCGGAAAAATTAGATGCCCTTATGATATTACTTACGAAAATCTGATTGAGTAAAATGATTAAAATATTAATTAATTTTATTGTAAAAAAACAAACTAATATTAGATGACATAACTTCTATTTTGTTTTACTGTGTTTAATGCCTCTGTCACAATAGTGTTAATGTTAATGTTAATGGTAATGTTAATGTTAATTAGAAGTGGAAATATTACACATTCATTTCTAAACAGAAGAAGCTAAAAACATTTTTAAATTGTTTTAGTTACAGCACTGATCAAATAATAGAAAGTGAGTTTTCCGATAACTTTTCTGATTCCGAAGAAGATTTTAAGAGTGATCCAAATTTTGAAAATAATGACGTTGGATATTCTCTGAAATTGGAAAAAGTGAATAACATTTTACAAGAACTTGATGAACCCCCTATTAAAAAAAAATGTTTTTCAAAACTATCCCATAAAAATATTCGAGATATCATTTCAGAAATTATTAATAGAAATCATAAAGAAAAAAACGCCCAAGAAAGTGGACATAAAACAAAAAATATTTCAGATTCAGCTTTTGTTGAGAATATTCGAGCTGCTCTAAGCCAAAAACCAAATGTTCAAGAAAATTAAAATTTTGACTACGATTCCAAATAATTGGACAATAAAAGAAATGCGTAAGACATTTTCTATTTCAAAAAGAATGGCAATAAAGTCTAAAAACTTGCAGAAAAAAAGTGGATTTGCATCTGTTCCTGAAAACAAACGTGGGAAAAAGATTCTGTACTCTACTGTTGAAACAGTACGAAATTTTTATCGCTCAGATTTTTCTAGCAGAATATTACCAGGAATTAAAGACTGCAAAACTGTTGTTGAAAATGGAATCAAAAAGAAGGCCCAGAAAAGGTTGTTACTATTTAATTTAAATGATTTACACGAACAATTTAAGATCGAATATCCTGATATTTCAATAGGTCTATCGAAATTTAGATACTTGAGACCACTTGAATGCATTATGGCAGGCCAAACTGGCACGCATAATATTTGTGTTTGCAAAATGCATCAAAATGTAGCCTTAAAAATACATGGAATCAAGCGAGAACTACAAAAATATAAGATTACTTTTAATAAATCAATGGGCGACTTTATTAAGGAATCCGTGTGCGAACTTCCAAAGCCGGGTTGTTTTTTATATGATTGCGAAGAATGTCCTGGCACAGCAGCTATCATGAAGAAAGTGGAGGAAATAATGACCGAAAATAACGTCACTCAAGTGACATTTAGTCAATGGATCAACACTGACCGGTAACAACAATCAATATTAATGTTTATTTATTATTTATAAATATTAGGGTTTTTTTCAGGTGCGATATTGTGCAGATATCAGAAAAAACAGAAAAGTTTTTAGAGGCGCTTGGTAACGACTTGTATTTAGTTTTAAAGCACGACTTCCTATCTAAAACGCAAGGAGCCTATTTCGTTGAAAAGAAAAGTGCAGTCTGTAACGGAGAATTTGTGGTTTCCTTGGATTTTGCAGAAAACTACACATTTCAAATCCAGGATGCAATCCAGTCTCATCATTGGTCAAACACTCAAGCAACAATTCATCCATATGTAATTTATTACAACGAAAATGGCAAAGAGCATCACTTAAGTTTTGTCATTATTTCGGAAAAATTAACCCATGATGCTCAATCTGTTCACTTATTTAACACAAGACTTGTTAATTATTTAAAAAACAAATTTGGTTGTAGAAATTTAAAAAAATATTTTATTTTTCGGATGGCGCTGGATCGCAATATAAAAATAAATTCAACTTTTTGAATTTATTTTATCACAAAAATGACTTTGGAATTGAAGCCGAGTGGAATTTTTTCGCAACATCCCACGGTAAGGGAGCGTGCGACGGGGTCGGGGGCACTGTAAAAAGACTGGCACATAAAGCAAGTATGCAGCGCGTTACTTGTAATCACATAAGTAATCCTCGAGCTCTTTTTGATTGGGCAAAAGATGCTTTTAAAACAATAGATTTTGATTTTTGCTCTCAAGTTGACCACGATGCGCATGAAAAAAAATACCAGAACCGCATAAAAAAAGCAGTAGCAATAAAAAAAACGCGGCAATATCATTATTTTCAACCAACGACTCTTAAACAGATTATATGTAAAAAAATTTCTAAAGATGAATCTAGTTTTAAGAATATAATTACTACTTAAAAACCATAAATATAATAATCAATTTTACTATTTAGCATGAAATTAACAATGTTCATATCTTATATAATAATTATGTTCATTCATTTCATGCTGTTTTAATTAACAACCACTCTTAGGATATTGATTACTTTTTATAGATTAAAAAATATATCCAAAATTTATTATAACCACGCGAAGAAGGATATTTTACTTTTATTTTTTAAACACATGTTTCTTATAAATTGTGATTGATAATATAATATGATAACATTGTCACTAACGAAAGTGTCTGGTGTCAAAGAAAAAATCCTATCCTAGGTTAAGAATATAAATTATGTGACTGTTACATTAAATTGTTAAATTTTATATTTTGTTCACTACATGTAATAAAAAATTCTAATATTAGAGCATTTTATTTTTTGAATATTGACTTATTTTCCCCACTTTATTTGGCAGTGAACTCTACGTACTTTAAGCGCAAATAACAGAAAGCTGTGCTGACGAGCTAGCAGCGAAGCGCGCCGCGTACCGATCAAGCGCACAGCGGGACAAAAAAAATAATATCTCCGGAATGACAGGTGAAGGACAAATTTTTGAGTATATCTTATTAAACGGAAACGTTTGCCGCATATTATGACACAAGTTTAATTTTTTTCAGCGTGAAGAACACATAAAAAATTTCAATTGTTTATAATAAATGTATGCAAAATTATTTAATATAAAAAAATTACCTTAATTAAATGATCATTCTATAGTCTAAACATTGCTAAAATAGTGTTTAAAATGTTATTCAATTATACAGAGTGGTCCCAGAGATTTTATTTTTTAAATTTTACCGTGCTCTAAAGTTTGACAAAACTATTAACCTTAATAACATTAACAAAAAACCGAATTTAAAAAAAAAATTTACTGTGACATATGCGTCATGCCTACTACACAATAATGTGAATATTTTCAAAATCGGTGATTTCGTGAAATTTTCTGGTCCCACTTGACGTGGTTTGAAGAGATAAACAAAAATTTAAAAAAAAATCATGAATTTTCGAACAATTTCGAAAAGAGGAGCAGCTAGAACTTTGGTAAATATCATTTTTAAGTCACCAAAGGGTCCCGAACAAGAAACTACAATCAGTTTTTGGCGGCATTTTTATGTGACTTAAACTTCGTTCAGGCACACCGTTAAAACGTTAGAACGGACGAGCTAGCAGCGAAGCGCGCCGCGTACTGATCCAAGCGCACAGCGGGACAAAAAAATTAATATCTCCGGAATGACATATGAAAGGCAAATTTTTGAGTAAATCTTATTAAACGAAAATGTTTGCCGCATATTATGACACAAGATTATTTTTTTTCAGCGTGAAGAACACATAAAAAATTTCAATTGTTTATAATAAATGTATGCAAAATTCTTTTATTTAAACAAATTAACCTTAATTAAATGATCATTATATAGTCTAAACATTTCTACAATAGTGTGTAAAATTTAATTCAATTATACAGAGTGGTTCCAGAGATACTATTTTTTTAATTTTACCGTGCTCTAAAGTTTGACAAAATTGTCAACCTTAATAACATTACCAAAAAAACGAATTTTAAAACAATTTTTTTACTGTGACATATGAGTCATGCCTACTACACAATAATGTGATTATTTTCAAAATCGGTGATTTCGTGAAATTTTCTGGTCCCACTTGACGTGGTTTGACTCTCTACCGAAGTTTGAAAAGGAACTACTTTTTTCTCAAGAAATGGAAACGACGTCTAAAGGTGCAGGTCATGGATGTAATAAGTCAATATTTCGAAAAATAGTCGAAAAAGAAAACTTTTCTGCCTTTGATAAGCTGAATCAAATTATTGATGGACAGTGTACTGAGATTAAAGGAGAAATACAAAAGAACATTACACACCATTTGGTAAATTTAAAAAGTGAATTCAATCACTATTTTCCTGACTGTGAGGACAAAGGTATTCGGAAACTCATTAAGAATTCTTTCATTGTCAAAGTTTCTGAGGTGCCTGATGTAATTCAAGAAGTGATTGAAATGTAACACGATAGTAACTTGAAAGATACATTCGAGGCAGGAATTATTCTTGAAGATTTTTGAAGCCAAAAGGCAATTTCTTTTCCAAATATTTAATTGCTATTCGTTACCTAACTTTGTTTTCATCGACATATCTATGCGAGCAGGGGTTTCCTGCGCTTTTAATAATTATTATTAATTATTAATTATAATTAAAAACAAGCACCGAAATCGGTTGGATGCTAGTGCCGACATGCGTTTGGCTTTGAGTAGCACTGAACCAAGGATTCTAGTATATCTGTTACAAGCGATTCCGATGCTGGAGCTTTTGACATATTATTTGAAGACTTAACAGATACTTTGGATATTGTTGAACCTTGCGAAATAAAGTAAAACCGGACTTTCAAGGAATATTGAAACTGCAAAATCTTTTCGAAAAAACAAGCAAGGGGAAATATGTGCTAACGTATTGCAAAAAAGGTGTTTTTGATAAGGACGCAAGACAGAAATTAGTGGACATCTTAATAGAAAATGAAGTCAGTGATGATATTTGTCGAAGGTACAAACATAAGAAAATGTTTTATTTTTAGTACGCTTGTTAACTTTTATTTTTCAGAGTGCCAAGTACTGTACTAAACGCTATAGCAACTAAAATTGTCCAATTATTTCCTCCTGAAAAAAACTGTTATTTTTGCATAGTGAATGTTAATGGAAAGAAACTCGGCAGAGTCAAGCTTTTTTTCCAAATACTATAACTTACGAAGGCGATTTGCAAACGTGGGACTACTCCAGAATAAGAAAACACCATCCTCATTTATTACGGAAACCCCATCACAAGGTACAAATATAAAATACAAAATTTCAGATAAACAATGTGTGGAATTTTTGTAGATAGTTTTCAAGAAAACGAAGAATTGGTAGTGTGGGTGTCTAACAATATTTCACCGTGAACAAGTGTATTAGAAAACTGCAATAGCACCTGCGCCTTTTGCCAAGACTTACTAAAAACTACAAGCATCAACGAATATTTTAAAAAAGTTCTTGCACAAATAATGGGTTTGATGTGGTGAGCAAAATTTATCAGTGCATGTAACTAACCTCTAACACCTCTAACAAGGTTATGTTTTCCTTGTGTTCGTTAGGTGTTAGCAGACTTTAATGTTATGTACCCCGACAAAGAATTCGGGCTGTATGCAAATTTATACAAAGGAATCGCTATAATTATTGAACACTTTAAGGAAACCGATAATAAAGAAGTTCTTGAATTTAGTACAGACTGAACAGAATGCTGGTAAGAAAGTTTTATATTGCTATTTATTGATTTTATTTATTGTAACTTGTATCGGTACAAAAATATTAAAGTTTTTTGTATATTTACCATATCGTCTGCCAGTAACCACTATTTTTTTTAAAGGAGGCGCAGTGCGCCCATATAGACAGCAAATACAGTCATTTGTATTGCACATTTCTGTAAGTTCTACAATTTAATTTATAACATCGCATATTATTAAGAAAGTAATTCTAGGATATAAGCAAACTAAAGGATGTTATTGAAGTACGAACTTCGTAGCTGTTTTCATTTAAGGAAACTTTGCAACCATTCATAACCGTTGTCGGGCAAAATTTGGAAAACATATCGTATTTGTATTGTGGACGAGTTTTTATACAGAGGCTTCAGTATTATAAAAGCAGTAAATGTTTGTTTCAAACTTGAAATACCTAGTTATTAATTTTTCTTAAGACTCTATTGAATGATCTTGTAAACACTCAGAATCAATTAAAAGACACAAATATATTCCTTATGCTCTAGTAATACGATTTTTAGTTTGCCAACTGTTTTAAGTTGTCTTGTTTGATAATAAGCATAAAAATGTTCATCTTTCTGAAAAATTTGTTAAATCTGTTAGTGCTCTTTGCTGACACTTTACATTTTGCCATCAGTTAACAGTAGAAAGTATTTACAAATCTTATCAGGGCGATATTATATGTGAAGGACCAATTCCTTCACAAGATCAGTGTAACGATTTTAATTATGACGAGCCTGTGGTTACACCAAGAATATTTGTTTCAAAATTTTATTGTTTCGAAAGTTTACCTCGTTGTATGATTTAAACAATAATAGATGAATTTTTATTTTTTTGGACAGTGGATTCATTGAAATTCTTCATACAATAGTCATACATCAATTAAATCGCACAAAGACTAATAAAGATTTAATTCATAACATAAACAATATGTTCACCTCTGAAAAATCCATTTCAATTATTATCTTCGAAATATTTGTGATTTAGAAAAATCTAAAAGTTCAATTTTATCTAAATCACGTACTATTGGGTACAAAACAGATATATCAACTTGTCGTTAAAGCAAGTTTCTGTACCCTTGCAGTATATTCCAA